AGTGTATTGAGAACAATGTTGGCTTCCAGCATACACTCCAGAAATGAATCTTTTAGGGTGCCTGGGTGGCTGTCGGTAGCATCCGACTCTTGATTTTGGCTCAGGTCATGATCTCACAGTTCGTGAGTTCGAGGCCTGCATCGGTCTCTGCGCTACTGGTATGGAGCCTGCTTCAGATTCTTCCTCTCTCTCTCTTTCTCTCTCTCTTTTCTTCTCTCCCTCTCTCTCTCTCTCCCCCTGATCCCCCCCTACACACACACTCTCTCTCTCAAAATAAATAAATAAACTTTAAAAAACAAAAGAAACGAATCTTTTCCAAACTGAATGTGTGTAAGATGTTTTTGAGGACCTCTAATTAAAATTGCAGATCCCTGGGCCCCACACAGAAATTCTGATGCAGTAGGTCTGGTGCAGAGCCCATCACCTGTGTTTTAATAAGCACTTTTTCCTGGGGATTCCAAAACAGGTGGTTCACAATATACACCCTGAGGATTGTGATCAACAGTAGCTGTTATTATTATCTCTTTACTTGTTCATCTCCCATAGATTGAGCTTCTCTCAGGGAGTTTCCTAGCACCGAAAGTAAAATATGTATTGATAAATATTTGAGGAATGAATAAATGACAAATAAAAAATGGAGGCAGGGCCATGTAATAAGAATAGGATACCTAAAAGCACCTTGTAAACTATAAATAAAATTTTCTATGCTGTGAACAGTGACTTTCAATTTTTTTGACCATGTGAGACAAAAAGAAATACTAAGAAATACATTTTACTTTGTGACCTACCGCATGCACACACTATACGCTCTACACACAACTATAAAACAACAGACAGGGGCGCCTGGGTGGCGCAGTTGGTTAAGCGTCCAACTTCAGCCAGGTCACGATCTCGCGGTCCGTGAGTTCGAGCCCCGCGTCGGGCTCTGGGCTGATGGCTCAGAGCCTGGAGCCTGTTTCCGATTCTGTGTCTCCCTCTCTCTCTGCCCCTCCCCCGTTCATGCTCTGTCTCTCTCTGTCCCAAAAATAAATACACATTGAAAAAAAAAAAAACCAACAACAGACATACCAATACTTATCCTTTACTGCATTCTGATATTTTCTATTCTATTCTATCCTTTTTCAGAAAATAAATTGTTTTAATAGGTCATTAATGAGTATTGTACAGTTTAAAAAACAATGAGTGAAGTGATATTTTTTTCCCACTACTCCTTAACCCACCCTGTCTCCACTCCCCAGCTACGATTTGGCCTTGCTAAATTAGCAACAGGTACCTAGTTCTGTGAACTTAATTCTCAAGTCTGTACAGGTGCTTCCTCTGACTCAAAAGGCCCTTCTCCCTTTCCTTACTTGAGTAATTCCCATTTATCCTATCCTGTCCTGTGTCCTGGGAACCTTTCCCTCTCCTGGGCTAAGACAGCATAGTGTTCTTATCTCTGTCACTCTGTATGGAAATTGTCTGTTTAGGTATCCATACCCCTCAGCAGACTCAATACTTAAAAGTCAAGGATTGAATAAAATGAGCACTCAAAAAATGCTTTTCAAATACCTGAATAAAACCAAAGTGCTGTTATGTTATTTTGAGAGGGGAAATCTGGGTGCTGGAGGGACAAAGGAGAGGCATAAGCTAAATGATATAATTTGTGTTGTTAAAAACACGAAGCTTCTGTAAACAGACCAAGAGAAACCTAACATTTTCAGATCCCTCCAATTTCTATGACCCACTAAAACCATATATTAGTTAGGTTTTAGTTCAAATAGAGTGCAGGTTTTTGCTCTGGTTTTTTACAGAGCCTAAATATTCAATTGTTTTAAACATAAATATTAATAGAGATATTGACTCACTGAGAAGTGATAAAGGCTTTGGTGCTGGAATCAAACTGATTGGATCAAAGACATAACCTCAAAGTGCCCAGTATGATATGGCCATAAATGAGGTGGACACATAGCTCTTAGAGGGGGTAGAGAGGCTCTTCTCCTCAGCACACCCAAAAGGCACCTTGGCTAATGTCCACATACAAAGTGAGGAATTAAAATTACAAGGTCTTGTCTTGTCTTTATTCATACAGTTACTTCTGTTAGTTGAATGTATTCATACTGTATTTTGGGGACAGTATTAACAAAATCCAATAACATTTTTTAAAGTGTTTATTTAAATTCCAGTTAGTTACCATACTCCAATAACATTTTATTTTTTTATTTTTTTTAATGTTTATTTATTTTTGAAACAGAGACAGATAGAGCATGAACGGGGGAGGGTCAGAGAGAGAGGGAGACACAGAATCTGAAGCAGGCTCCAGGCTGTGAGCTGTTGGCACAGAGACCGACACAGGGCTCGAACTCATGAACCGTGAGATCATGACCTGAGCTGAAGTCGTTGGCTCAACTGACTGAGCCACCCAGGTGCCCCATCCAATAACATTTTAAAGATGTTTGTATTGTCTTTATAAACTGTTTAGTCTTTGTGAAGACTTAAAGTATTTTTGTCATTTCTTAGTCCCCTTCACTTTACGCATTTCTACTTAAAGAGGCTCTTGACACACTCTCTCTCTGTCCCTAGAGTCTTTCTTCTGTCTTGTATTCCTCCTCTTCTTTTGAGTAATCAGAAACCAAAAGTATCTTTGAAATTCAGCTCTTTGACATTGAAGGAGGTAAGGGACTACCTTTCACCACACTTTATAAAGGCGGATGCCACAGAATGAGGCTCAGCCCTTGACTGCTGAGAGGTAGGGCTTGTGTTCAGCAGAGGTGGCAGTAATGCAGGGATCTGAGAGAAAAATGAAGATGTATGGTTACTTATGAAATGTCTATTGTGCAGTCTCATTCTGTTCTTCTAGAATACTGACACTAGGTGAACTCAATCAACCCAGATTTAATTTTTATAATCTTCATTTATTCTATTAAGATTTGAAAAGTGCCACATAACAGACCACCAGATAGTTGTATATTTACCATATGCACTTGTGAAATGGCCTTGCTTCCATTCTTTTTTTTTTTTTTTGCCTGACATTAAGTGCTTTTTTTTTTTTTAATGTTTATTTATTTTTAAGAGAGAAAGAGAGACAGAGTGTGAGCAGCGGAAGGGCAGAGAGAGAGGGAGACACAGAATCTGAAGCAGGCTCCAGGCTCCAAGCTGTTGGCACAGAGCCCGACGCGGGGCTTGAACCCACGAACCATGAGATCATGACCGAGCCAAAGTCAGATGCTCAACTGACTGAGCCACCCAGGCACCCCTTAAGTGCTTTATTTACACCATTTTATTTAATCACAATAGTAATTCTGTATGGAAGGTATAATTTATCCTATTTAAAGATGAGGAAAATAGGGTTCAGATATGGTGATGTAACTTGGCAAAGTTCATACAGCTCTTAAATAACAGAAATTGAACATGACCCCAGGTATGTCTAACTCCAGTTACCATGTGCTTATTTGTCTTGCCCTTCAGGGCAAGTTACTATCTAACTGAAGATATTTAAATGTGATATATTAAAAGTATTAGGCAGCATAGCATAGTAAATGCCACATATACAACAAGATAATGTGAAACAAGTTCTGTGAAAATTTGATGAAGAAGGGAGCATATCCAGCTGAGGTATGAAGATGTAAGTTTTGACCTAGATCCTAAAGATATAAGATATGACTGATGGGGTTGGTGGGTGGGAAAGAACAATATGCATTTGAGGTTGGGAAAACCACCTTCTTCAGATGTGTTGAGATGGAATAACACAAGTTGTATTCTGTAGACGGACCTGCTTCCATTCTGAAAGCATGTGGTCTAACACTGAGCAGCCTGCTTGTTCATGCTTAATACAGAAGAGAATTAAGAGAACTGTCATAACATTTACAATGAATGCTATGTTGTAAATATATATTTACAATACTATGCCTATTGAGACCTTTTGTCTTTTGAGAGTTTTTTCCAACATCCAGAACCCTTGTCAGTTATGAGTCATATAAACAATATTAGTAGAAATAAAAAAAATTACTCTGAATCCCGTGACTGCAACAAATCAATACTTTTTATTCCCCCTTGTTTCCTGTCCTTGACTGTGTATCTATTAGACGTTTCACTTGCAAATGACTAAACAATAAAGAAATTGCTCAAGATGAGCTTGAGGCTTGACCTAGCAGCTCAAACTAAATCACCAAGTACCAAGTTTCTTTCATTTACTCTATTCTGCCTACCACTGTGTTGCTTTATCCTCAGGCACCATGTGGTAACCTTAGGGAGTTCCAGGTCCTCCCAGTATGGTAGCAACAGCTGTAGAAGTTCTAGATCCCACATCCTCACACTTCATCAAGCCCTAGCAAACAGGCTCTGATTGGGTTACCCACCCATCCATGAACCAACTTCTATGGAGAGGGAGATAAAGTTCAGATTGACCTGAATTATCAGGATCCACCTACATAGCTGAGAGCTGGTGAGAAGTGGTTTCCTTAAAAACAAACACATGCGGGGCACCTGGGTGGCTCAGTAGGTTGAGCGGTTGAACATCTGACTTCAGCTCACGTCTTGATCTTGCAGCTTGTGAATTTGAGCCCTGTGAACATTGAGCTCACTGTTGTCAGTGCGGAACCCGCTTCAGGTCTTCTGCCCCCTCTCTCTCTGCCCCTTCCCCATTTGCACTCTCTCTCTCGAAAATAAATGAATCTTAAAAAAAAAATGTGCTCTTAGGAAAAAACAGAGAAAGGATGCTAAGCAGCATAAATAATATATGCCTATTACCATGTGCAAGCTTGATTTATCATTGTAATCATGGCCTGGATGTGATTTTATATTCTGCTCTTTAAATGTAATCTTTCGGGGCGCCTGGGTGGCGCAGTCGGTTAAGCGTCCGACTTCAGCCAGGTCACGATCTCGCGGTCCGTGGGTTCGAGCCCCGCGTCAGGCTCTGGGCTGATGGCTCAGAGCCTGGAGCCTGTTTCCGATTCTGTGTCTCCCTCTCTCTCTGCCCCTCCCCCGTTCATGCTGTGTCTCTCTCTGTCCCAAAAATAAATAAATGTTGAAAAAAAATAAAAAAAAATGTAATCTTTCATAGAATTATATTTCAATATGTTGGGCTGATAGTAAGCATACTTTCAATTAACAATAACCGCGCCTCAGATAAACTCCATTGGCTACGACACTGCCACTGCACAAAGCTTGAGAATAAACATACTTTCAATGCTGTTAGATTTATGCCATTTTTAGTGACTCTGTCGTTTAAACTTGAATGTAAATATTGTTGATACTAATGAAAAAGCTAGTGACAAGTCATTCAAATAATATAAGCATGTAAAATTAATCATTTGTGGAAGCTGGTGTATCATAACAATGATCAAAACATATCTTTGGGGGGCACCTGGGTGGTTCAGTCAGTTGAGCATCCAACTTTGGCTCAGGTCATGATCTCGCTGTCCGTGAGTTCAAGCCCAGCATCAGGCTCTGTGCTGACAGCTTGGAGCCTAGAGCCTGTTTCAGATTCTGTGTCTCCCTCTCTCTCTGCCCCTCTCCCACTCATGCTCTGTCTCTCTGTCAAAAATAAATAAACATTAAAAAAATAATTTAAAAAAGCCGTATCTTTGGTATACAACCCAACACCAAAAAATAATAACAATAATCCAATTAAAATGGGCAGAAAACATGAACAGACATTTCTCTACAGAAGACATACAGATGGCCAACAGACACATGAAAAGGTATTCAATGTCACTTATCATCAGGGAAATGTAAATCAAAATCACCATGAGATGTCATCTCCCACCTATCAGAATGACAAAAATCAAAAACACAAAAAACAGGGGTGCCTGGATGGCTCAGTAAGTAGAGCATGTGACTCTTGATTGCGGGGTCATGAGTTTGAGCTACACTTTTGGGATAGAGTTTACTTAAAAAAAAAAAAAATTAAAGGGGCACCTGTGTGGTTCAGTTGGTTGAGTGACAGACTCTTGGTTTTGGCTCAGGTCATGATCTCTCAGTTCATGAAATCAAGCCCCGCGTCGGTCTCTGTGCTAATGGCATGGAGTCTGCTTGGGATTCTCTCTCTTCCTCTCTCTCTTTCTCTCTCTGCCCCTTCCCTACTCGTGCTCTCACTCTCAAAATAAACAAATAAACTTTTTCTTTAATTAAAAAAAAAACAAAAAACATAAGAAACAAGTGTTGGTGAGGACGTGAAGAAAAAGGAACTCTCTTTCACTGTTGGTAGAATCAAACTGGTGCAGCCACTATGGAAACAATATGGAGGTTCCTCAAAAAATTAAAAATAGAATTACTGGGGCACTTGGGTGGCTCAGTCGGTTAAGCCTCCAACTTCGGCTCAGGTCATGATCTTGAGGTTCATGAGTTTGAGCCCTGAATTGGGCTCTGTGCTTGACAGCTCAGAGCCTGGAGCCTTCTTCGGATCATGTGTCTCCCTTTCTTTCTGTGCCCTTCCCCTGCTCATGCTTTGTCTCTCTCTGTCTCTCAAAAATGAATAAATATTTTTTAAAATTTTAATAAAATTACTATATGATCCAGTAATTACACTACCGGGTATTTACCCAAAGAATACAAAAACACTAATTTGAAAAGATAAGCACCTCTATGTTTACTGCAGCATTATTTACAATAGTCAAATTATGGAAGCAGCCCAAAATGTCCATCAATAGATGAATGAATAAAGAAGATTATGGTATATACATACAATGGAACATTACCCAACCATAAAAAAAGAATGAAATTTTGTCCTTTACAACATGGATGGATATAGAAAGTATAATGCTTAGCAAAATAAGTTAGTCAGAGAAAGACAAATGCCATATGATTTCACTCATATGTGGAATTTAAGAAACAAAACAAAGGAAAAAAAGAGACAAACCAGAAAACAGAACTTTGTTTTTTAAGTAACCTCTACACCCAACATGGGACCCTAACTCATGACCCTGAGATCAAGAGTCACATGCTCCACTGACTAAGCCAGCCAGGCACCCCTAGAAAACAGACTCTTAACTATAGAGAACAAACTGATGGTTACCAGAGGTGGTGGTGGGGGGGTGGCCCCCACGCCAAGGAATGGGTAAAATAGGTGGAAGGGATTAAGAGTACACTTATCTTGATGAGCACTGAGTAATGTATACAAATGTTGAATCACTATATTGTACACCTGAAACTAATATAAAACTATATATTAACTCTACTGGAATTTTAAGAAATTAGGGGTGCCTGGGTGGCTCAGTTGGTTCAGCATCCAACTTTGGCTCAGGTCATGATCTTACAGTCTGTGAGTTCGAGTCCCACATCGGGCTCTGTACTGACAACTCGGATTCTGTGTCTCCCTCTCTCTCTGCCCTTCCCCCATGCATTCTCTCTCTCTCTCTCTCTCTCTCTCTCTCTCTCTCTCTCTCTCAAAAATAATAAAAACATTTTAAATATTGTTAAAAATTTTTAAATAGAAAACAATATCTGCTAAGGCCGAAGAAAAGAAAAAACCACATCTTTGGTATGGCCAAGAGCTTAAGGCCAAGACTAAGTGAATATTTATTCACTGATTTATTCGCTTATTCAACAGATGTTCAACAAGTGCTTGTGTGTGCCAGTGTGTCCTAGAATTGTAGGGAATACAAAGATTAATTAAACCTGGTCCCTGAGCTCAAGGAATGTATGATTTTTTTTTTAAGGTTCATTTATTTATTTTGAGAGAGAAAGCACGCACATGTGTGTGCCAGGTGGGGGTGGGGGCAGAGAAAGAGGGAGAATCCCAAGCAGGCTCTTTGCTGATGTGGGGCTCGACCCACGAACCATGAGATCATGACCTGAGCTGAAATCAAGAGCTGGATGCTTAACAGACTGAGTCACCCAGGTGCCCCAAAGAATGTACGGTTTTTATCAGCCTTTTCCCCAAACTGCATTCGGGGTTTTGTAATCTTGTTTTCTATATAATTTACTTTCATGTAGCAAAATTCAATTACAACCTCAAGTTTATATCTCTGATAAGTTTCTTCCCTGGGACAGCCAGGACATTATTTCAATCTTCAGACTGACTCTCAAGCCACAGGACTGCAGTGTCTGACTACAAAACAGATCCCTGCATATCTGTTTATGTGCTTCCAGAACTTATTATCAGAATATAATAATAACTATAAAGGAATATTTGACTAAATAGAGATAGGTACCATATTCCTGGATGTTGGTCCTTCCCCAGTTCTTTCTTTTTTTTTTTAATTTGAGAGAGAGGGAGAGCAAGAGCAGGAGAGTGGAAAGAGGTAGAGAGAGAACCTTAAGCAGGCTCCATGCTCAGCAGGGAGTCTGACGTGGGCTTTGATCCCATGACCCTAGGATCATGACCTGAGCTGAAATCAAGAGTCTGACACTCAACTGACTGAGCCACCTAGGCGCCCTCCCAGTTAATGTATTTTTAAGTACAATTCTAATCATCATCAAGTTAATTTTTAACTGTAACATGATTTAAAGATAATTTTAATACCTTCTGGAAGAATGTAAAATAAAAAATGAGTGAAAATTTCCCCTTCCCAGAAACTTTAAGTGTTTTAAAAACTATAATTAATTAAAATAGTGGTAAATCTCTCAGAAGAATTCCAAATAACATATATAGAGATTCCACCTCTAGGGTGCCTAGCTTAATTTCTGCTCTCTCCCCTCCAAGGGTCAGCTATATTTACTAACTCTATGAGAGGACAGGGCAGAGAAGGGGAAAAACAGTGATTTTATAATGGAGAAACTTGCTAACACAACCTTAACCAAGTGATGAAAATTAACATCATCAGTGAAGTCACAGGAGTATCATTTACCCCTGATGGGATAGGCAAGCGCACTTGACCTCTGTGATATTCTTTTCAACAGCTCATAAGCCCAGTCTAATTATGAGAAAACATTAGACAAACTCAGATTAGGGGACATTCTACAATATACTTAGGCAGTACATCTCAAGACTATCAAAGTCATTAGAAGCAAGGAAACACTAAGAAACTACCACAGACCAGAGAGACTAATAGAAGTCATAGAAACTAAATGCCCTGTATTGAAACAGAAAGAGGACATTAATGGGAAAAGTGGATGAAACTCAAAGTCTTGCACGTGGCTAATTATAATGTACCAATGTTAGTTTCTTAGTTTTGACAAATGTACGGTGGTAATTAAAGTAAGATGTTAACAATGGGGGGAAACTGAGTGAGGTGTATACAGGAGCTGTCTTTGTGTTTTTTTTTCAATTAAAAAATTTTTAATGCTTTAATTTATTTTTGAGACAGAGAGAGACAGAACATGAGCAGGAGAGGGGCAGAGAGAGAGGGAGACACAGAATCTGAAGCAGGATCCAGGCTCTGAGCTATCAGCACAGAGCCTGATGCAGGGCTCAAACTCACAGACTGTGAGATCATGACCTGAGCTGAAGTCAGACGCTTAACCGACTGAGCCACCCCGGCACCCCTACGGGAGCTGTCTTTGTAACTTTTCCGTAAATCTAAAATTATTCTAAAATAAAAGTTTATTTTAAAAGATAGCATGGGGGCACCTGGGTGGCTCAATGGGTTAAATGTCTGATTCTTGATTTGGGCTCAGGTCATGATCTCATGGTTTGTAGATTCAAGCCCCATGTCAGCACAAAGCCTGCTTGGGATTCTCCCTCTCTCTCTGTCCCCTCCCCACATGCACTCTCTCTCTCAAAAATAAATAAATAAGTAAATAAATAAATAGCATGATGTAGGCATAATTACATGTAGATAGAGCAATGAGATTGAAGATAATTGCCTAGAAATAGTCTAGGTATATAAGAATATAAGAAAAAGAAGGTGTTATAAATTATGGGTAGTATATATATTATTCAACAAATAAGGTTGGACCACAGTTGTTCAGCAATTTGAAATGAAATGAAATTTGACCCTTACTTCTATTTATTCAACTATGAATAATCTATAAATATTATTGAGCACCACCTACATGCCAGGCATTATGTTAGGTATTAACACTGCCCCTGCTCTCAAGGTGCTTACAATTTAATGGGAAATGAGACATGAAAAAGCAATTAGAAATGTAATTATTGTAAAGGGGAAATTCTGAGTGCTCAAAAAGTGTTCCTAACCTCGTCCAAGGCATCAAGAAGTCTTAGACTCAGGGCATACAGTTAGGCTAACATCTGAAGACCAACAGAAATTAGCCAGATATCAAGGG